TGATTCGAAGGCAAAGCTTTTTTTCGTATTTCAAGTGATTTTTCGTAGAATTCAAGTGCTTTCGAGTAGTCACCCATGTCGCTGTTCACTCCACCGATGTTACTGCACAAAGTAGCCAATAAGGGATGATTCGAAGGGAGAGCGTTTTCGTAGATATTATGTGATTTTTCGTACAATTCAAGTGCTTTCGAGTAGTCACCCATGTCGCTATACACTCGACCATTGTTGCTGTAGGAAGTAGCCAAATCAGGATGATTCGAAGGCAGAGCTTTTACGAAGATTTTATGTGATTTTTCGTAAAATTCAAGTGCTTTCGAGTAGTCACCCATGTCATTATACACTTGACCGGTGTTGCTGTACGAAATAGCCAATGAGGGATGATTCGAAGGGAGAGCTTTTTCTCGTATTTCAAGTGATTTTTCGTGAAATTCAAGTGCTTTCGAGTAGTCACCCATGTTATTATAGATTAGACCGATGTTGTTGTACGAAGTAGCCAAATCAGGATGATTCGAAGGGAGAGCTTTTTCTCGTATTTCAAGTGATTTTTCGTACAATTCAAGTGCTTTCGAGTAGTCACCCATGTTATTATAGACTAGACCGATGTTGTTGTACGAAGTAGCCAAATCAGGATGATTCGAAGGCAGAGCTGCTTCGTTGATTTTATGTGATTTTTCGTAAAATTCAAGTGCTTTCGAGTAGTCACCCATGTCCCTGTACACTCCACCGATGTTGCTGTATGAAGTAGCCAATGTGGGATGATTGGAAGGCAGAGCTTTTTTTCGTATTTCAAGTGCTTTTTCGTAAAGTTCAAGTGCTTTCGAGTAGTCACCCATGTTATTATAGACTAGACCGATGTTGCTGTACGAAGTAGCCAAATCAGGATGATTCGAAGGGAGAGCTTTTTCTCGTATTTCAAGTGATTTTTCGTAAAATTCAAGTGCTTTCGAGTAGTCACCCATGTCCCTGTACACACCACCGATGTTGCTGTATGAAGTAGCCAATGAGGGATGATTCGAAGGCAGAGTTTTTTTTCGTATTTCAAGTGCTTTTTCGTAAAATTCAAGTGCTTTCGAGTAGTCACCGAAGTTCTGATACGCTTGACCGATGTTGCTGTACGAAGTAGCCAATGAGGGATGATTCGTAGGCAGAGCTTTTTTTCGTATTGCATGTGATTTTTCGTAAAATTCAAGTGCTTTTTCGTAGTCACCCATGTCGCTGTACACTCCACCGATGTTGCTGATAATAATAGCCAAATCTGGATGATTCGAAGGGAGAGCTTTTTTTCGTATTTCAAGTGATTTTTCGTAAAGTTCAAGTGCTTTCGAGTAATCACCCATGTCGCTGTACACTCCACCAATGTTGCTGTACGAAGTAGCCAAATCAGGATGGTTGGGAGGCAGAGCTTTTTCGCAGGTTTTATGTGATTTTTCGTAATATTCAAGTGCTTTCGAGTACTCACCCATGTTATCATGCAGTAGAGCAATGTTGTTGTAGTAATGAGATAATGAAGGGTGATCGTGTGGAAGAGTGTTACGCTCAATTTTAAGTGCATTTTCGAGAAGAGAGGCTGCTTCTGTGTATTCTCCGCGGTCCTTTTTCGCACATGCCAGCTGGGAATATATATATGCTCTATCACTATCATCCGATGCCTGTTCCAATAGTGCCATATATAGTTCTTCGGCCTTGTCAAATTGACCTATTTTGAGTAACAATTGACCCATTCGACGCCATCCAGTGCCGCTGACCTCGTTTCGTATAAAGTCAGTTAATTCACGAAGTTGTGGATCATTATCTGACGTTAGTTTAAGAACGACTTGATAAAGGGCACGATTGTTGTCAATTTTTCGCACTTCACCAATGCGAAACACCGTGTTCATGGAGAAGAGAATTTCTTCTTCGTTAAAATAGCTCACTTCTTGGATGGAGGCGAATGGAGTTGATGATACTGATGGATCAATGGTTATTTGAAATAGAATTCCGACCATATCGGCTGTTCCGAAGGCTTGATTAGCGAAATCGAGGGATATTTTTCGTTTTTCGCTGGTGGATAAAAAGTTGTTAAAAGAGATAAGCCCACCTTTGTTTTTTGCGAGCTTTTCAAAATCTGCTTTCGATAGGCCTTGCCCTCGAAAGATTGTAAAAATCTTGTTATGATATTGGCTGACCTGATTCTTGTACAGAGCTTCGATTTGTCGATGAACATCGCAAAGAAAGAAACCCATTCGAATCATTATATCGCCGTTGAGTGTTCTTAATGCGCCATTGAGCATCTTGTACGTGAAACACTCACGCGTGTACCACCAAATGGCGTTTGATGATTTATAGGTGTGCTCGAATTCATTAATAATTTTTGTTTCTGTTTGATTTTTTAGGTATATTGATCGACAATATGCTGCCAAATCTTTGATGGTCTGTTGATCATGTTTCATATCAAGGAGGATCTCCTTGAATATTTGTGTATACATGAAGGCTGGTTCAAGCTGATTGAGATTTTCGCTTGAACCTCCTTCATTCGAACTGATAATGCTCACCGGTATATTGTTTTGGTTGCATTGTTTGACAGCCATTGCTAGTGCTTCGCAGATTGGCTTAATTGTTGTATGGACTCCGTTTATTTTTGTCCAGATCTTGGCCCATGCTTTATGCTGTTGAGTGTTGTCACAAAAGATATAAATGGCGTTCAAATGTGCGATGCCATGAATACGTGGAACCAGGTGTTGTCCTAATGCACCGGAGGAGATTACGAATGCTATCGCCCCATTGCTTTCTTCGAGGCTTTGAATACATGCCTCTACCGTTTTGCATATTTCAACGTCGTTAACAACACTGCGCAATTGCGCAAGTGTATTTCGACAGTCTTCGTTCGATTGATTGATATTTGTATCAACCCAAAGAACTATATAATTCTCTGCCATGCGTCGTCTTCGTGACATGGCTGCTGTACTTGCCGTATCACCTGCATTTGATGGTGTAATGGTTTGTTTGGAGTTGTTGCAACCCATTTTAGATTAATCTTCTGGATGTCGAAGCAATACTTGGTTATCGTACAATAAAGACTGTTGTTTCGTCAGATATTACTCATGCTTTTTGTATATTCAATGTGGGTTTTTTTTCTTCTAGATTTTTCTGCTGCGTCATATGTTGATAGTTTTGTTTACTGTTGATACTCAACGACAAACTCCATCTAGTTTCAATTCAAACTACCGTTATCAACAACGATTCAGTGGGAGAGAAAAACTTAATGACATTATTATTTTCTACTATGATTCTTTCCAACTCTCATTTGCTTTTCATTTAGATAAGAGTCGCTTTAATGTCAATATGTTGGATACCTTGTCTCACTCGTTGTTTTTGTTATTCTTTATTTTGATCTTACTAAAACGATTGCTTTTCTCTTTCAGACAAGAGCATAAACATAACAATAAAAGTATATTTAATTTTTAGAGCGATAGCATTGGAAAAACATGTTTTACTGACCGAAGTAAGGTGGAGTTATTTGACGAACAGTGGCGTAGCCAGAGGTACGGCCATTGGGCAATTACCCATGGATTTTTTGAAATGATACCAATTGCCTAATGCTGCAAAATCTTGATATACATACATGTACAAAGATTCAAGTGATGTCATCTTAATACATTGTATCTTGTTGTGAGCTAATCAAGTGTTCCCGAAAAATCAACCGACTATTTTTTCCATTAAACCAATGCTCACAATGATGACAATTCAATGGTATTTTTTTTTCAAAATACTCGTTATTCTACTTAAACTCACTACTGGTTCTATTTGTGCTTATTTATGTTTTTTGACATAATATATTCAAATATTTGAAAGTTGAAGAGTACATTTGTGAAACAGTCCAAAAAAACTGTTAGTGCAATCTATGCAGGATTAAAATGTGAAAAACGATGTAGCTGCTGTTACTAATCACGAGAATATGGTTATATTCAATCTATCTTGGGACTCATTTTTTATCATCGTTTACTTAATCCTCTAGAACTGCAAGAAGGAAGGAATTCATATATTCTCATGAGATGCTAGTGATCTATAAGCACTAATCGTGTATCAAAAACG